GATTGTAAGCATTTTAAGGTGAGAACTGGATTCAGTTAATTTCTATTCCCTGTATCTTCCATGGTGCCTTTGCTCAAAAATGTGGGGAAGGAATGAACTCAGAAGTGTGCTTTTGGACTTATGTTCCAGTGCTCTTTCCGTGCCATGCTATTGATTATACCTATTTATTCTTTCATTCCACATGTTCTTTTACAGAAGGATGAAGGATTTACCCGCTTTCTTAAAGACAGAAAAATTGCACCCAACATCCAATATCTGTTGGTAAAATAACAGTGGGATACATTTAATTGGAATAATTTGTAAACTAATATTACATTATATATTAAAGCTTCTGATGAGGACTGGAATCTTTAAGCACTTTTTGCTATAATCTTGATCATAGGATGCAGCTTAGTGGTGAATTTCTATGTAGTTCCTCTGAAATCACACCAGGCGATTCATGCAGCTAAGGAGAAGAAAGGACAGTCAACTAATTTGCAGTGTACTTTTTCTATTAGCTGTCTTTCTGAGAACACTAATGTAGCAAAAAAATAAATGAATTCCAAATCTATTACTGCCATCTATTTACATGTTTTTCTTGAAATAAATAGCTTGTTACTGGGTGGGAAATAATGTATATTTTGTGCTGACGGGGTGAACTCCAATTGCCATCTCAAGCATAATTTTCCCTTTTCTTCCACTGCCAGTCTTCCTTTATTGTTATAGTCATTTGAGCCTCTTCACTCTTCTTGAGCAAACGTTTTGAGAGATTTCTGTTTGAGTTTAGAAACTTCTTTTTTTTTTTTTGAGAGAGAGAGAGTAAGGAAGCAGTGCGGATTGGCAGAAAAAAAGAACGGAGTGGCTGGAAAATATCATAAATATAGTAAGTTTCCCAGGAGCAGGGGTAATGGTTTGTTCACTGCTTTATCTCAGTGCTGGTAGAATGCTTTGCATACAGTAGGCACGCAGGAACTGCTTGTTAAATGGGCAGGATTTGCCAGTTTTTGTTGTGATCATTTTTGTTTCATTTCATTTTACCTTTTCTTGGACCATTTAAAGTCCGCTATTGTACCTGACTCTTTAAACATTTACATTCTTGGATCACAAGACTTTTTTTAAACTCTTTATTTAAACTTATTTTTTGACTATATAGGGTTGTTCCCTTATTGCGAGACCAAGAGGGAAAACGTAGATCATGCTTTTCAACATGGGGATACTCATGGCCATTTCTAGTCTGGTTCCTGTAAAAATTCAAGGGAAGAATCAACACCAAACACTAGAACTGGTCTTGGAGGATATAGCAAATCACCCTGTGATAAATTATACAACTACTTCTCTCTTCCTTGTTGCTCATTACTCCTTCACATCCCGGATGTACAAGTCAGTACTACCTCTGTGTTTGCCCTGAAAATGGTCTTCTCAAGCTACTTTAGTTCTCTTCCTAAACCAGGGCAGATCATGTCATTTTTTTTCTTGAGTATTTAGAATTGTCACACCATGGGCTAAAGAACAAAATATACATTCCTCGGCATAGCAGTTAAGGTCCCCCACAAGTAGTGCGAAAGTGTCTTTCCAGCCTCGTTTCCTGTGTGATTCTTCTGCAGTAGACACGTTCCAAGTACCCAATGATATTGTGCCATTGTTCTTTCTTTGCTTTCAACAAAAGCAGAGAAGTGAGATAATTCCAATTAGAATACATTTCTCTGAAATGGTCAGATATTTTAAGGCAAAAGTCCCAGGCTTATTTTCATACCTCCTTCAGTCATGCACAGTTGCCCGTAGTCATATGGAGACCTGTCCTTAGCAGAACACCAGAAACCATGGTCAGTGCTCGCAGAAGCTCCCCAGTGACTGTTGGCTGGACAGAGAAGTGAACGTGAATATGAAGAGAATATATGTGGCATATGACTGCGAATAACTCAAGCCCTGTATGTTGGGGATGGCAGGGAAAGAGACTGGAAGTACACTTGGAATTTCCATAGATTATCTCCTTTAATCTTCACAACAGGCCTTACAAGTGTTAGGAGGGGAGACTTTCCCAAGGCTATAAACCTAGTGGGAGGCACAGCTGAGAATTGATCCCAGGCCTGTCTCATTCTGAAGCGCTCATTTAATGGCCTTTGTCTTGCCACTGTTTCCTTTACCAAATTACTTAACTATAATTTCCTCTACTAATATTAGAGATGGTAAATGTCAAAATTATATTTAGCTGTTAAACCAAAGACAGTATTCACATGGAAGAATAGAGTTTTCCTTATATTTTATGAGGTACTTTTAAGGCACATGGATAAAAAAATTGAACAGTCTGACATACATATTTTTCCCTCCATGTATCTTTTATTTCCATCTTTTTTTAATTGAAAAAACCATGAAACATTTAATAAGGTATTAGGGCCATTATTAAATTTCAGCTCTTCTAGGCGGATTATGTTCAGTTTAGTTGATGTTTGGATAAATGTTATTCCTCAAAAATAAGGATCGAACAACTCGCTTTGTAAATTATAATGCTGTTTTGGCAACATGAAATCATTGGGGCAAAGTAGATTGAACGAGAAAACACAAGGCAATTAAATCTTTGTTGATTTATTACTTTTAATCACTTCAACTTGTGTACTGTGTTTTAATACATAATTTTGGGGAATGTTTTTAATGACCTTGTGTAATTTTAAAATGTAGTGCTTTGGGTCACAGTTATCAGGCTTTTTTGGTTGTGACAGAAAAATAATTCCAGGAATAATGCTTACTCAGGAACAGCTGTCTTCGAGTGCCAAAAAGAGTCTGTCTCATTCCACTGCTCACCTCTGCTCTCCTCTGTGTTGACTTCGTTTTCAGACAGGCTCTTACCTTGTGATGGCAAAAATAGCCACCACCAACTCCAGGGTTGCCATTTATGAACTGAGCGACTAAGTTTGGGGCCTGCTCACACAGCCAGCTTGGGTCATGTGGCCACATTTCACCTGGAACATGGAATACCTCTGGGCTGAGAGTAGAGGAAAAATGGTTTCCAAAATAAACTTGCCATGTTGTCATCAAAATTAGGAAGAAAGGATGCTGGGCATGACAGCTTAGAACACAGGTTGTTGAAAGAAGGTACAAACAGAACTTTATATGTTTTGCTGCTGGAATTTAAGAAAACAGATCAGCTACCTTAAAAGAACATGTTCAGTAGGAAAAAGGAAAGGACCAAAAATGCACAACTTGTGATTGGGTACCACACACTATTAATTTTCTTTAAAAATCATAACATTGAGCTAATTATTACCATTTTGGAGCACTTACTATGTGTCTCCCTTTGTGTGGAGCACTTTACATATTTCACGTAATCCGTACTGCAGCTTCGTGAGGTCAGCCTCAATATTCTCACTGTACGGGTGAAGCTCAGAGCATTTGGATTTGAATCCAGAAGTGTCTGACTTCACTTCAGTCATACCGTCTTAGTTTTACAGTTTGCTTTCATTGGTCTGTCTGTTGGTCTGTCTGGTCCATCTATCCATCATCCATCCCTTTAAAACCTTTAGAACCCCTCAGTGTTCTCTGAGCAGCCGGCTCCCTTGTGCCTCAGGCACCCATCCATGCCTTCAGAGACCTCCTCAGTTCTGCCTCCCAGCCAACGTCAGTCCCCTTTCCTCCACCTGTGTTGCCGCCACCCCAGCCTTCGTCCCAGAGGGCCTGAACTCCTACTGTAAATGCTGTTTGGTGTTTCTGCTTCCACTCTTCGTCTGTCCCACCCCTGTGTTCTTCAAGCCTCCAGATTGAACTTCTAAAAGTGTAGATCTGATCTGATCAGCCGTCTGTTTTCCTTGGCTTCTCATCTCACAGAGCACAATCCTGGCCCTGCCTGCCTTCCCAGCCCACCTCACAGCACCCTCTCTCTGGCTGTTTTCTTCTTTCTCTCCTGCAGCAGCCTTACACCTTACTGTATCCCTCCCGCTCCCTGCTGCGGTCCTCATTCACTTTCTCTCTTTAACTCTTGCTTCTTCAGGTCTGTGTTTAAATGCCAGTTGAAGTCCTTAGGGACTTCCCTGCCCCTCTCCCCACCCTTTCCCTCTGGACTATCATATCCTTTACTTTTCCTTTTTGCGCTTTTGACAATTTGTAGTTATATATTTATATATGATTATTAGCCTAATATTCCCCACTAAACCATGAACTCCATGATGGCAGGGACCAAGTCTGGATAATAACTGCTGAGTCTCAGCATTTACTGCAGTGCCTGGAACCTAATATGCATTCAAATATGTGTTGAATGGATTAATGGATTAAAACTGAGTATGCCCGAAGTGGTACATTCCAAATGATTACTTTTTCTGTAGTTCCCTCATGCTGACTTTTATACTCAGGAATAAACTTATATTTTCTTCAGAGCAGTTTTATCCCAACAGCTTTTGGTTTGCTTAAGAACAAGCCGTGTTTCCTTTGTTGCTGACTGTAATTGTTGGCAATTCAGATGCCATACAGTGACGCGCTTGGTTTTCAAAACTCCTGTATTAGAGCCAGTCATAATAGGGGAAAATAATAAATTTTAGGATATGTAATTCCTCTCAATTTGACTTGAGTGTGGGTGGGTGGGAGAGGGGAAGAGAAGGCTCTAATATCTTGCTCCAAATGATTCCCTGCCCAATGACACAGAAGCTTGAATACTCCTTTAATTCCGATGTGCCACCCCAGATCCCAGGCATCCAAATTTAGCCCTCTCTGCATGTCCTTGCGATTTCTGGCTGCCATCTGTGTCCAAACTGGCTTTGGAAGGAGAAGCTTTCTCTCCAGTGATTTATTATGTAAAGCGTCTTCCCAGCCTTTGTCGTGAAAACTGGCAATATCCATATGGCTTGTTGGAAACCACGTACAAGGCTGTCTGCCCGGGTCTCACTCGCTGCCTTAGGTCTGAGGGGATCATCGTCTTGGCACACTTGTGGCCTCGTTACATGCACGAAGGCACGTTTGCTGGGAAACTTATCTGTCCACAGTCATCCCATGTGTCGCAGATAACATAAACTTCTTTCTCCCTTTTTAATCCACAGTTGGTCATGTTCGGAGTTTGACCTGAATGAGATTCGCCTGATAGTTTACCAGGACTGTGAAAGGAGAGGCAGACAAATCTTGTTTGATTCTAAAGCTGTTCAAAAGATTGAAGAAGTGGCAGCTCAGGTATGAAATGCTTCCTTTTGAATTATATTATATAAGGCCATTAATGGTTCAGAAGAAACATAAGCAAAGCCCCACCCCAGCAGGCATGTATATGCTCATGAATAAACACAGGTGAAGCAGTTAGCAAGTATCATGACAGGAGCTAAGCAGTGTACTATCAATATCACTAGAGGTGAATTTGCTGGTGAGTTGCAATCCAGTAGGATTTTGATGCCAAGTACATGCATCAAAGGTAGCGGGAAAACAGAACTCTAAAATTCATAAAGTGCTAAAGTATTAGTGTGAAGGGAAATTAATAGATTATTCTGTCCAGTGTTTCTCATAGATAATAAGAAGTATTATGTAGCAGTGGGTTAAACAAAATTAAATAGCTTTTGCTATAGGGCTTCACTATACAAACCTGCACTGTCATCTTCAAAAAGGAGTATTTCTCAAACCTCTCTGACCAAGGAAGCTTTTATTCATCTCCTTTTTTGTGGATTAGGTAGGGATAGGTGGTGGTCTTGGGCAGGGATTGGGGGGACCAGGGATGGGTAGAGGTGAGGACAGAGCAGCTCTTGATCCCTTGAAGCCAGAATGGGAAAGGTAAAGTAACTTGTTTAAGGTGAGGAGAAGAGTCTGGTCCTTCCTGAGTCTTTTTGGATATGAGTCCAGGGTGCTTCTAAATTGTCATCTTTAGACATTTCACTCTCTTTTCAGTATTTGTTCAGATACCTACAAATTAAATAAATCCATTTGTATTTATTCTTCTTATGTTCAGTAATTTGCTACCCATAAATTCTGGCAGTTTGTAGAATGTGTAGCTAAGTAAATGAACAGTTTATAACACAATCTTTGTCTCATCAGGGCCAAGGGCCTATTTTCCTGCTTTTGATAAGGATCATTTCTGCAGGAAGGAAGTGTTTGGTTAAAGGCAGTTTCACTGGGTGGATTCCACAGTGTTTTAAAATGGAATTCTGCCAGGTAGCTAATCATTACAGTAGTCGCTGGGCTTGTTAGGTAGGTGGGGGTGCGGGGGTGCTGAGAAATCTCTCAGGTGATTCACTGTAGGCTTTAATGATAGATTTGTGTCAAAGGTAGTTTAGGTGAGCCAGCACTTGACCCTTTGGTGGACAGGAGGTGGTTGCCCCATCATTTCCCATTTCTCTGAAGGCCTCACACAGATGGTTTAGCTGAGTACCCACATCCCATCACTAGGGCTGCTAATAGTGGTGACAGATGGAGGAAAAAAGAATCTTAAAAGTTTTCAAAAGGAACTAAAAGCTTCAGTAAACCAGAGTAATGATAATTCTGGAATCTGGAACAAAGACTTTCTTAAAGGCACTCATTTAATCAGAAAGGCAGTTTAGGTTCAAGGAGGATTATAATTTGCCCAAGGCTATGAAAGAATCCAGTCGGTGCTCAATTTGCTATACCAGGTGCTCTCTCCAATTATAGACAGTTCAGTATGTTGTACTCCAGCCAAAGGGTCTGGCAGTCCATGAGGCAGGTGGGACTTCATGTCACTTTAGGCTCTCTAAGATGGCCTTCTGGCTTAAGTGGTATTAAGTAACAGCTAGATCTCAAGAGGGTGTTGAGGGGGTGCTGGATGTTTGGGAATAACCAAGTCCATTTGAATGCCATCATTGCTGGAGTGACTGTTGTGGACCAGCACATTTTGTGTTTTCATTGCATTCTTTTCCCATTTCCAGCTCCCCCTCAACCCCCCTTGGCAAGCACAAAACGTCATGAGTTTGTATCAAGCACATGACTGCAGGCATTTGCATTAGACCACCAGTGTGACTGTCACACTGGAGATTAGATAAGCTGCAGACGCATTCATGTTTTTTCCCAGCAAAAGCTGCACAAGGAAAAAAAAGGCAAAGAAGACTCAGAATAGAAACAACTTATCATAGAGAGTACAGGAAGCTTCTGTAGAGAGTAATATATTCTGGTGAAGGAGGGTGGTAAAAATTAAGGTGTATCTTTATACCTTTATGTCACTGTGATAAAAATTAGCAATGAACTCTATTTAGGGACCGTTGTGGTCGATAATCCTCTGTTACTCTTAACCTTTAAAGACCATATTTCCATCACGTGCTGTGGATTCACAGTACCTCCTATTTCAAGGTTTTGACTTCATCCTTCACAAATCCGACCTCACTGATTTTTCCCTCCAGTACCTTTAAAAAGGAGTACTAGATGAGGTGTGTCATTAAAGACATAAGCCAGTTCTGTCCAAATTAATAGTTTTGTTTCCTTAATTCCATTTGTTTGGTAAAAATTTAAATTTGAAATGTCATCTTTCTTCTTATCAATTTAATAGGTTATGACTCTACATAGTACTAAAAATCTTCTAATAACCAAAGCAGGTCAGTTCTTATGATTTTTAAAATATGATTTGAAATATAAGTAGTTAAATGATTAACTGAGAGTAAAGTCCTAATATATATCCCACCACCTTTTGTCTATTAATAGTACCCTTCTTCAGCATCCCACCTTCCAAATACTATAGACTCTCAGGAAGCATATTTTTGTTGTCAATAGAAAAAAACTAAAAAAAGCTTCTGGTTTTTCATGCAACTTACACACCAGAATGTTTTAACAAAGGAATTCCCAGTAAAGAACATGTTGACAAAGCCGGATATACTTAGTTATCCTTAACCTCGCCTGTCTCTCCCAACCCAGAAAACAGAGGATGTCCCTATGAAAATGTCCCCCAAGTGCTGTCAAGGAAGCAGCAGCATCAGCAGCAGCAGCAGCAGCATCTCTTCCTATGGTTCTTCCGGGGGATCTTTATACCACGCTAAGGAGCAGCTTCCAAAGTACCAGGTAAAACCACCCCTGCCATAGGAATGCCCCATAGGGTTGAAGTAATTTAGTATGCTTTCTCCTGAGGGAATAATGCCTGCTTCAGGGCTCTGCTCCAGGAATGTGAGAACAGGTATTCAGCAGGGCACTCGTAAGTGTTTCCTGTCAATATCGCTTTCTCACTTTGGCTTTTATCTCTCAATAAAAACTGTGATCAAGCAGAGGTGATACAACACAATACATACGGAACGAGGAAGGAATATTAGAAATCAAGTTAATTATCTTGTTTTATATGCTTTGCTGTCACATGCAGAATAATAAACATGTATTTTCCAGTTTTGTTATGAGAACTGCTAAGGATTCAGGGAATGTATGTGGGCGTCCTAAGGAAATAGAAGTTATCGATAGAAGGAAGAAAGCCTTGTATAGGTGAAGAAAGGCATGGCAACACCTAACTTGAGAATGGAGGACAGAGAGCTGGTGGCATTTTTTATGCTGTATGTGTACATATGTGTGTATATGTGTTTTAGGGTTATTGAGAAATACTAACTAGAAGAAATCTTTTGTAAATATTGAATAGCAGAAGGATATTAATTGATGAAGGATATATCAAACTTTTTTTTAAACCCATGTAGAGTCTTGTCTACTGTGTTGCTGGAAAAGCAAAGGCAGGGGAGTCACCAGAAGCCACAGCTCTAGAGGACTTTGTTAATTTCCTAGTCAGAATTTGTGCAGTTCATTTACCCTTATTTCACAGTGCTCCTGGGTCTCAAAGCAGTTTGCAGTTAAAAAAGTATAGAGTGAAATTTCCAGCTAGTTGAGAATCACAGTTGGCATGTGGCCCTTGTACCCCAAGAAAAAGAAGATTATAAAATGGAGGAAGTGGGTGGAAGTTATTAATAAAGAATGTGAAAGCCAGTTGGTTTCTGTCGCATGTAGTGCAGAGGTTGGTGTGAGCTATAACCAAAGAGAGGAACCTAGTTGAAACAGGCTGATAGATTTACCTCTGCTACCATGTCTGAGTAGGTCTGCATATGTGCATCAGTGTATGTATACGTGTGTGTGCACGTGTGTGTGTGTGTGTGTGTGTGTGTGTGTTTGGAGTTTAAAAAAATAAAAGATTCAGAAGAGAGTATTAAGGATGATTCCCATGTTTTTCCTTGGGTGGAAAGCACACTAAGCAGAGAATCTGGCTGGTAAGTTGGGGTGCAGAGAGATAGTTGTTTGTTTTCGTCCAGCTGTGCTGGGGTGCCTGTGGTACACTGGTTTGCTCAACATTCATATCCATCCTGTTCATAAGTGTGCCACCAGCACTTAACATAGGTGCTAAGAAGCCTATATCCCAGTGCATCCGTTGACATGTCACATATAATATTCAATATGTGAATGAGTACATTGGGGTATAGGATTCTAGAGGTCAAGGAGAGGTCTGGGCCTAGAGATAAAGACACCAGGGGCGGGGGCGTCTTCTATGTAAATAATAATCAAAATTAGAAGAATGGTTGAAAATGTAGGCAGTGAGTAGGAGTGCCCTCTGAGGAACCAATCATGTTCCAGGGATGGTCTGAGAAAGAAGAGATTCAAAAAAGAGAATAGTTAACAGCATCAAATATGGCGAAAGAAGTTTAATACATCAAACTGGAATGTGTGCATTGGATCTGGCAAGGAGGCGGAGGTCATCATCAGAGCAGTTGGGATAGATGGACCATTAGAGGCAAAGGCAGGCTGTAGGAGGGGACCAGACAAGCCAGGGGGACGTGGAGGCAGCACAGCCCACCTGTTGGATGACAAAAGGCATAAGGAGGACTGCTCAGAAATGGGAGGGGTCAAACATTTTTATAAAACTTTAGAGTTGTCAGACCATCAGATATCTTTCGAACCCTCACAAAACCCTGTCTGCACCAATTGGCATTTTTGATCAACGCTTGTTTATTATTTGGTTGAATAATAATGAACCATATTTCTGTTCAGAATGTGTTCTTAGTACCAAAAGAAGAGTTACTCCGTTTCTTGCATAATTTAATCTTTCTATTTAGTGTTTATAAATGGAGTTAATGGTAATCTTTGTTTCTCATAAAAGGAATAAAAATGAACTCCGTTAAAACACTTGGATCCTGTGTGAAGATATTGTATAAAAAAATCATGAACATTAGTAATAATTTGGGGGAAAAATAGGCAATCACCATTATAGATTAAGATTATAAAATGACCAATTGCAGCATTGAAAAAGAGTTGTAATTACTGACTAAACTAATGAGGGACCCAGAAATTAATAAACATTATTTTCTACTGCATTGCATAGCATGATGTTCCACGTACTAACTTTGGTTTTGATTTCTTGCATGTAGTATACAAGACCAGCTTCTGATGTCAACATGTTAGGGGAAATGATGTTTGGCTCAGTTGCAATGAGTTACAAAGGCTCCACCTTAAAGATACACTATATACGGTGAGTCTGGGCTTCCCTTTTTACCAATTGTGAGAAGTGGAATGGCGATATCGACTCCTTAACTCAAAAATGCATTTTTCCCCTCTTCTTTCTTTTTTTTTCCCCCCAGCTCTCCTCCACAACTGATGATTAGTAAAGTCTTCTCTGCTAGAATGGGCAGCTTCTGTGGAAGTACAAATAAGTAAGTGTGGAGTTTTTCACTCTCCCCCCACCCCCATTTTTTTAAGTGTCTATTTCTGGATTGAGTAATTCCTTTAAGGCATTTCGGAATGAGAAGCAAGATGAGTCCAAGTTAACAAAGGGGTTTTAAAAGTGGCCATTGTCCTATAAACAGTGAGTGGGAAGAGGCCTTTGACTTTATCAGGTAGCCTTAAAGACAGATGACTATTTGTCTTTATATATTTTGGGTCTCCCATGTATTACCCACTGTGTTCCTACTGCCAGTCACCAAGTTTTAATTCCCTGAAAAATGAAAAATAAAGGAAGAAAAGGAAGGAGCTACATTAATGATTTTATGATATTTTCTAATTTTATCTTTTAAAAAATCTTATTTATTCATTTATTTCTGAAGGACTAAAGTACATAATGAATTTTCCCAGGCTGATACACACCTGCATGACAGGATGGGCTGCCATCTATTCTGAGCGGCCTGTTTAGCCTTTGTGATTGATTGGTACTTAGGCCATGCATTATTTTGATTTTCACTCTTGATTTTTTTCCCTCTATTATTACACTTCTGCATAGACTAAGAATACTGGAATGTCTAATAACTTAACCTCTCATCTTGGCATATTTGTTCATATATCTGGATCTTCAAGGAGAATTATTTCATATATTTTTTTTTTCAATGAAACAGCAAAGCATCTGTTATACGTTGATAAATTTGAAAGAAAGCCTTGTTATAAATTAAAGGGCATTTTTAAAGACCAAATGAAGGGTATTTTCTTTTAATAATCCTGGAAAATTAAAAATATATTCCTTTGTATATTTGGGTACCCTTTAGTAAGTCTTTCTTTACTCTTCAACAAAATAGTTTGAGCAGTTAACATTTGACTGTCATGACTTAAGCCAGTATGAAAATTAATGTTTATTTTTTATGAGATATTCTTTTTTCAGACCCTTAGGATTACCTGAATGTTTATTATTCTAACTCCTTGTAATAAAACATTGAGCTCAGATTTAACTACAAATTATTTTGGCCTTACCATGCTATATTATCCTCAAAGTCTTGATATTTATTTTATTTGTTAATAAATACAATAAATTATTAAAATCTACTTCCCTCACTTTTTTGGGAAGTGGGGGTCATGCTCTGTTTCCCTGGCTAGAGTGCATCTTAGCTCACTGCAACCTCAAACTCCTGGCTCAAGCGATCCTCCTGCCTCAGCCTCCCAAAGTGCTTAGATTACAGGTGTGAGCTACCGTGCCTGGCCTTTCCTCATGTTTTTTGAATAATTTTAACTTTTTAGAAGTTGTGAAATCAAATTCATGTAAGAATCATAATTTCTGTTATATCTTACCCCTAAAAAAAATTGCTGAATTGCTCATGAATGTTAGAGTTAAAATTAATTTCATTTGGAGGGTTTATATAAAATCCATGAAATGAATTGCAACATCTTGGGTGTCAGTTCCTAAAGCAAAATTTAGAAATGAATAGCAGTATCCTAGGTGTCAGTCACTGAAGAAAAATTTAGAGTTTTGTGTCCCATTATATAATATGAAATTGTTAGAAATACAGTTATTTAGTAGTATGGGTTGAGCTACCTCCAGAAAGCTTTTATTTTCCTCCAAAAAATTCCTCTAAAGTTGCCAGTTTAATTTCCTTTGGTAGATGTGAGATTTTATTTATAAAGAAAAGTATTGAATGATCTGTTTTTGTCTGTATTTGCAGGTCTATTAGAAAACAGCTTTAGTAGCCTCTTGACATTTTTGTCCTCTCTCTCCTTTTCTCCCCCTCTCTGGATTTAGCTTGCAAGACAGCTTTGAATACATCAACCAAGATCCTAATTTGGGAAAACCGAACACAAATCAGAATAATTTGGGTCCTTGTCGTACTGGAAGTAACCTAGGTAAAATCAGACATGCAAATCCTTTCTTTCTAAATACCACTATTGTAGGTGTGTGTTTTGCTTTATTTGAGTTTGTTGTGTTTTGGGGTTTTTTTTTGCATTATCTTTAATCTGTCTTTATTTTTTGTGTGTGTGTACTTTGTTTGCCCTCTTTTATGTGTTTCTGTCTAGGTCTGCTGCAAGCTTGCAGCAGCAAACTGCTGCAGGGGGTAGCTGAAGGAGGACCTCTCCGGCTCACCCGGAGTGCTTCTTTCTTTGCAGGTTTGTGTGGAATGCTGAGTACAGTGTGACCCACACACATTAATAAATCCTGTGCAGATTCTTAGAAAAAATCCTATTTGTGCCTCTCTAGAAATCCAAGGGGCTCTTGTGGTAAGAGATATTAGTTTCAAATGTAGCCAAATTCTTGGTGTTTTGAAAATTCCACTAGTGAACCTCTATTGTAAACATCTCCACTAATTCTCCAGTGTAAGCCGATTTTGATCTGAAATGAGCCCTTAGTGTTTCTAAGAGGATTATTTTTTCTGATTTTTTTCCTGGGCCTCTTCTGCTGCTATGAACTATTTCCCTTTGCCGTGGTATCTTTTATCCATTTATTCACCTGCATCCTTACCTGCACGGAGTTTCTTTAAAAGTCACTCTAATAAGAGCATGGAAGATTGTCTCTCTCTCAATTAACTAGTTTAAATACAATTTTTAGGTTCTTTACAGGTATAATCATCTTGGTATCTCTGGATAATTCTGAGATTGAACTGGCCTTGCTAGCTAAGGCTGTTGAATGTCTGTTGTAGTCTTGGCATGATTAACAAGTGTGGGGAACCTCCATTACTAACATTTAAATTTGTGAGTATAGCAAATGGTATTATTCTTTCCATTCTTCTTCGTATCCTGAAATGTGCTAAGCACCATATTTAACTGACACCCTAATGAAAATGACACCCTCCCACCTACTTAGAGTGAGGATAACATGTTTATATACTCTCTTTAAAATTGTGAAAGTAAACATGCTTCAAAAAATAGTTGGCAAGCGTAATAATCGGGCAGGACACTAGGCTTCTTGTAATTGTAAAACTTACTGTAGCAACATTTCATCTGCCTTCTAGCTCAGTTAGTACACAGCTTAGGTCAACCTGAAGCATTCCTAGAAGTCTGTAATATTTTAGAATGTTTTCCACAATTCATGCCAGGACATGAGTTTTCCTAAGTAACTCTTCAATAATACTGCGTATGGGTGTATATGGAAAAGAAGTGGAGGAAGAAATATTTGAAAATGAATGTAAGTGTTTTCTATCTGCCAAAAGAGTGGGTTCTAAACAGAAAAACATTTTTTGAATTTATGAAATGGTTTTCAAGTATTTCTCTTCCCTAAGTTGCCTACAGTTACTACTGAAACTGATTATAAAGCATTTTGAAAATACAGAGCTATTTAAATACTACTCATAATGAGGAAAATGGCTAAAAATATCTACCTGAGAATGCTTGTTCATTGTATCAACTGCATGAATAGTTTAGTATTCAGGCTTTTTTAGAGTTGAACAACACTCAAAAAAATTTACATGCTACGATATGATAAGGCAGATGGTTACTTTTTTCTGTTTTCTTTTTACTCTCACCATCTTTTTATGTATTTAGTTTTGCCTTCTAGTAAATCATTAATCCTGATTATAAGCTTATGACAATCATCAGTAGCAATAGCCTACTTTGAAATGTAAAAATTACTGCAGTCATTTTTAAAATGTTCTTATCTTTGAAGAGCCCAATAACATGGTTTCCTTATGCCTTTATTTTAGCACACAGCACACCAGTTGACATGCCAAGCAGAGGGCAGAATGAAGACAGGGACAGTGGCATTGCTCGATCAGGTATTTGTATTTCTTTTTATTGGTTTAACTAATAAAGTGAACTATCCATAATGGTATAGAAGTTGGGAAAGTAGAAGACAGGCAGACAGGCCTCATCCTCTGGGTGTTTTTTTTTCCTTCGTATTCTAAGATAGTCACGTGTCTGAAGATCTGAAACTTTGATTACAGCATCTGTGAGTGATTGTGCAACATAAACTAGTCTTTTCTAATACCCAGATTCATATGAGGCTAATGTATGTTGAGAAATTTCTTTCCAGAGGGAAGCTTCCTTAAGCCAGTTGTACTGGAAGTGTGCTTGCTGACTGTTGAGTGTAGAATCAGAGGAAGGCAAGTATTTGTGAAAGTGAGTCTGTCCATGGCAGTGGGAGGGCCAGCATGCTGACCAGGTCACCTTTTCTCATGTCCCAGAGACATGCTTCTCTAGATTTTATCTCAGGTACCCTTCTCTCCTTGCTTCAAGGCCTAAACTTTTCTAATACTGCTTCTAAGATCTCTTGGTTTCAGCTCTTGTACACAACTCAGCTTGTGATTTTTGATTTGTGGTACAGATCTGAGGTAGATTCTGTTATAAGATAAAGGTATGAATGAATGATCTGGAATTCAATGACTCAGAGGTATGTGGGGCTTTGCCTGATGAATACTTACCCTACAGGCAGCCTCTACCATCCAGTGAAGGCTAGAAGCACCCTCTGGCTTCTCCTGTGACACGTGGCACCTTTACCAAACAGGCCAGCCAGCCAGTGCTCAGGCTGGACCCTGGCCTCAGGTGCTTTTCTTCCTGGCCTTCACTCATTTCTCTTTCTAGCTCTTGCCCTTAGACACTGCTCACAGGTCCTCGTGCTCCTTCTGTGTAGTATCAGAGCCCTTTACCTCACTTTGTACAACTCTGCTGTCAAGTTACTAAATGCAATGTAATTTATTACTGAATTCCCCCTGTTTGGTTTGTATATATGTCACATAGTGTAAAGTATATAGCATTTTATCTGTGGTTTAAATTGATTCGTCTTGGTGTTCATAATCTTTCCTGTGAAGCTGAGCTGGAACCTTTGGTCAGAGAGGTAATTCCCATTGATTAGACCTGTATCATTTTCACTCACCGCCCCTTGTGTACAAACATAAAATCTGAGAAGGTAAAGGACAGCATATGAAGTGATAAATGAACTCTTTTTGTTTTGTTTATATTTAATGGTGCTCATTCCTTTTGGGGCACTGTCAGATAACTCTTTGAGTTGGTCAATTACTCGAAGACAATGAGTGTGCATCGAAGAGCTCAGTGTCCTGAGGCTCAGCCCCTGCCCTGTAGGGCCCACCCGGCAGGGCTGGTGCTGGGGCTGGCTTTGTTATGGTTGAATTTCCAGGCAAGAAGGTGGGGGTCTTGCCAGAAGTCATAAAGTGGGACGCACAACCCTGGACCTGAGATTACTCTTAATCAAAATTGCTATCTTAGTGGCTGACAGAACTTAATATGTTTGGATTTGTGTGGTGAGAGAAAGAAAGATGAACAACATTCTACTGAGGCCCATTCTGAACACTAATATCACCGAGTTTTTGTCTGTCTGCTCATAACTTTATTTTATTGGTTTATGCCCCCTCTTGTTCCAGAAAAGATTTAGAGATTTTGAGTGAACTAATACCAACACAAACGTTATTAGGAAGAAGTCTGGATTTTCCTAGGGAACTTTTCAGTTTATAGTTGATGTGAATGGTTCATGTTGTCCAGGTCAAAATCTCACTTGTTCGGTAGTCTTCAGATTCTAAATTACTCCTAGAACTACTTTTCTTTGCCCCTTGAGAAGCAGGAAAGTTGAGGGCCAAGTTCAAATTAAAGTGAAAAGTCTATAGCAGCCAGATCTGAATGTTTTCGCTCAGCCCGTGAGAGGACCTTGGGACTGACCAGATTTGGGTAGGGACAGTGAGCAGTATTGACATAAATGTGAATTTTCAGAATTAGAGAAGACTGGCTTTCTTTGGTAGTTTGGCTTCTATTCCAGGCAGTCTTTACTTGCATTTTCTGGTTCTCCTGTCGGGAGAAAGGGGGCAGAGATGATGGAGAGGGCTACAAATGCCTGAGTGTTGTTTTGCTCTCCTTGCTGTCCTAGCAGATGTGCTCACCCCCTGCTAGTATCACCGAGTCCACAGACGGACTAGTGTGAGCTTTACAACTCGGGGGGAATTTAACACTCTCTTAACATAAGAGCTCTCCATGTTCCGATTATAATTTATTCTCTAATGTAATATTGATACAGTGTTACTAGCTAAAGTCCATAGTTTTTACCTAATGCCCTTTTTCGTTTCCGGGAGCACATTACATGTCTGTTCAGGCTTCTCTTGGCTGTGGCAGTTTCTCAGACTTCCTTTGTTTTTAATAACCTTCAGGAGTACTGGTTAGGTATTTTGTAGAATGCTGCACTATTAGAATTTTTTAAAATGTTTTTCTCATGATGACATTGAGATTGTGAGTTTTGGGAAGGAATATCACAGAAGTAAAGTACCGTTTTTATCATGTCTTATCAACAGTACCTACTGTCAACTTGATTTGTGGCCATTGATAGTGGCCATGATTACTTGGCTGAGAGTATGCTTGTCTGATCTCTCCACAGTAAAGTTACTCTTTATTTCCCCTTTTCCATACTATGTACTTTGGAAGGAAGTCACCATATTTAGCCTACACCTGAGGAATGGGGAATTGTGCTGCTCTTCCCGAGGGCAGAGTATCTACATAAATTATTTGGAATGGATGGGAGATATGTCTCTTCTCCCCATTTATTCAGTCATTATATCAATATGGACTCAACGATATTTTTTACTTTGGGCTATAACCCAATGCTACTTTTTTTACTTTCTTTATTTCGTTGCTCAAATTGTTTCAGCTTTGGCCATTGGGAACTCTTTTGGTACGCCCCTGGGCCCCTTTGACATACTAACATATCCCCATCTAGGAGGTGGCAGGGTGAGTATTTTGAGCACTTCCTTATGTTCTGGCACTACAAGATGCTCCAGAGTCATCTTATATATTTCCTTCCTGGGTCCTAGAATCAACCATTTCTCTACTTATAGAGTATCTCCGGAAAGGGGCACAAGTTGGGGCAGGTGTGGAGGGGAAATGCATTCTCATTGTATTTTATTTTGTATATTTTGAATGTCTTCTTTGCACATATAAGTAAAAAAGGTAAGTTGTATTTTAAGAAGTTACTTTGGCGGTTGCAGTTAGAAATTTTCAAGTAAGGTGTTGGAAAGTAGAGGGATGGGTTTTCAGCCATACTGGGAGGTTGTAATGGGATGGCTCAGTGATTAATGGGACATGAGATATGGTAGAGGAGGAAGGAACCAAGAATGACTCTCCAGTTTGTATGTCGGGAAGACGAGTGGAGGGTGGGCATTAACCAGTATAGAGAAAGCAGGAAGACAGCTGGGGGAGACAGATATTGAGATAATTTTTTAGCTAGAAGTGTCTACAAGTTCTCCAGTTGTGCGTAGTCAGCTGTAATTTGGATATAGGAAACTGGCTCTAAATAGATGAGTCTGAGCAGAAGCTAAAATTTAGAAGTGTTGGGTACATGAGTAAGGTTCAGGGGGGCTAGGATTCGGACCAGCATCACCGAGCCTTGTCTTCCGACCTTAATTCAACTTTATACTCTCGTCCTCATCAAAAAGTTCAAATCATTGGCAAGAAAAATAATTTTCCCATTCTCTCTGTCACTGCATTTCCTCTTTTCTTAAAAGGGGTAAGATAAACAGAAGGGCAGTATAAGGAAAACTTCTAATACGTACTTTTAAACATTTTTATTTAAGTGCTTTAATATGAACCTTCGGGGTAAGGATGTGCATCATCATAGGGTTCGAATAAGACATGTTTTGACCACTGCAGGTACAGTACAGACCCCCACCCAATATTTGGTTCGGATGTCAAGACTGATGACAACACACGCACACGCGCGTGCGCGTGCGCGCGCACACACACACACACACACACACACACACACAGACACACCCTACCCATGTTTATTGATCACATAATGAGATTTTTCTGGTGAGAGAGCAGGGTGGGCCACCCAAGCTGATCAGAAAATGGCTTGAGAGAACAGGGAAAGGGGATTAACCTTGGGATTTTTATGGTGGTTAGTGGGTGAGGCTGGGGTAAGTGTTTGTGCAGGTGGTTCAAACTTCTCACTGGTTCCAAAGAAGCTCTGGACGATGGGCTTTCTCATCAGCTTGCCCAGATGTGGAGCAGAAAGAGAAGAGGGGCAGGGCGGGTAAAGCTTAGGAGCTGTCAGCAATTGAGCACCTAGAAATGAAGTCAGATTCTTAATTACAACATGGGTACCACTGAATAATGCAAAATGACATCCCATTTGTACCTGAGCCCTTCCTTGACTTAACTGATACTGTGCTTTGTAGAGAGGAGCAGGAGTCCAGGAGCATGCTGTCATTTGTTGTCTGTCCAGGGGAAGACAGCTGTGGCACCCTGTTGGCCTTGCACAGTTCCATATAGGATAGGCAAAGGCTTGAATAATAGCTTACCTGAGTCCTGGCAGTACAAACTGTGATCCTCTTGGAAAACGAGAACATGGGAAACCTCGAAGGAGCTGCTAGCAGGTCATCTTCTACTCACTTCCCTGTCTCCCCAGGAGGTGTTCCTGAGGCAGTTTCTGATCACTTCCAGGGTTCTAATGAGATATGGGGCTTTTTGCGCCCCCCCCCCCAAACTAGAGCTGCAAAATATAAAAGTATTTAGCTGTAGTCTAGTACTGGCTGCCCAACAATAGGATGTCCCACAGCTTGCATTGCAGATATCTGGCCCCTTTTGTGTTGGTGGTGTCCTTTTTGGTAAGTGGTGATAAGGATTACTGGTAGCTGGCGCTTTTGGCTTATTCTTCTTTTCCCCGTCATTGTAAGTAATAAACTTGCCAAATCTAAAAATACCTGGTTTTATCTTTACCACTGAACCTTGGCCTTGGCCTCGCTTTGCCTTATCTAATACATGTGGCTTGGACAGAACT